ATAGCACTAAAAATAAGATGATTTTTATATCCTTCTCTTTTTGTATTTGTTTATAAAAAATGTGTCAAGATTCATAAATTCTGTGTAGTAAAGAAAATAGAAGAAAAGGAAGCAAGAGTGCACAAATGGGGTGCTCTTACAACCTTTGGGATTGAGAGCACTTTTGAGACGTATCTACCCCAGAACAAAATTCACAGGGGCTGTGGATAATGCTGTCGGAGAGAATAGAATATTATGAAGAACTTGAAAAAGATCAAGCTGCCCTTACATTAATGTCTGAAGTGAAACATTCAGGCTTTGAAGACCTTCAGAAATATTTTTCCATTACTCATCCTTTAAACTAGAGCTTGGGGATCCAGATCGTGGTACGTGGGGCACCGGGAAGTCTAAACATCATTGTATGACCAGTGGACCTTTCTACTGGTATCTAAGGCTGAGCTTATTTAGTGTTTTGAATAGAACTCTTGGCAACAAGTTGAAAGAGTTTTAAGACCAAGATGAGCAAGTGCTAGCCAAAGAAACACCATCAGGGCCTGGCTCCCTTCCATGTTCCTCTTTTGTTTAATTTGTCCCACCCTTTTCTCTCTCTCCTCTTCAGGTCTCCCTTCTTCCTATTCTGGTGCATTTCTTTCACTTCTTTCTTCCTTTTTTTCTTTTATCTATCCTTTCTCCATTTTCTTTTCTATATCTTGCCTCAAACAGGGCATTTATTGGGCAATGTCTGACTCTAGTGGTTGCTTTAAGTTCCAAGAAACTTGTAGAGTTTGTTCCAGGGAGGAGGAGAACAGATTAACATGGGGAGGAGGAACTGGACTCTAGGCTCTAGGTAGGAAGTGGAGGGGAGAGGGGTGGGGGCACGAAATGTGAGGTGTGAAGGTGCCATATGCATCCTGACCCTGAGCCTTGTGGTTTTCATCCCATGGGAGAAGATTTGGGTTGACTCAGGTTGGAGGATGAGATTACCAACATTCCTCCCACTGCAGTATCCACTTCTGCCTTCCTGGCTGGCAGAGCCATCCTTCCACTAGAGAGGCCAAATGTGGCAGAGGTTCATTCTCCCATCTGTCTTAGAGCAAGGGTAGCATTCTTGGATAGTGGGTAGGAAGAAGTGTTCACTGCGAGTCTTTGGGAAGAAATTGTCTTTCCTTGAAAAGAGAGATGCATGGAAGGAAAGATCTCCTTGCTTTGTCTCAGGATTTGTTCATGCCTACCTATGCTGTCTGCAGCTGTTACAGCAACCTTGTTACCTCGAGAGAAATGTAGCTGAACTTTCCATGGAAGGCAGGGCAAAAACATGGACAGGTCCTGGGTTCTTGAGATCCCTGAGCTGCCCATCCATGTCTGGAGCATTTTATATAATTGACCTTATTGTTTAAGACATTTTTAGTTGGAGTTTCTCCTTCTTGCAGCTGAAAAGATTTTTATGAGAACCAGCAAACATAACCTCGTGGTTGAGTTTTATATTGTGTTGACTTTTTGTTAATTCCTTTAATGTTATATATTCAATTGACCAAACACTCTATGTACTTGTCTTCTTTCTCTAATGCTGCCTTCTTTCTCCATCCAGATTACTATCCAGAATCTGAAACTTCATTCTTTTTGTAAACTTTTCTGATAAAATGAAATAAAGTTTATAAACTCAAGGCTTGTGTCTGTCACACTAGGATAAAAAAATCAGTCTCAGTGATCTTTTTCTGACTTTCTGATGAATGTTATATATTCTGGCCTAAATAAGGCAGAGTATGACTTCTAGTAAGATCCATCACATCTTGACGATGCAAGCGCAGAAGGACTTTCCTCTTGTTTTATTTCTCCCTCCCTATATCCCTTCCAGAAACAGCGTCTGAAGGGTACCTTATATTTAATACATGGAGCCCTGTAGTGAAATACAGTTGACAGTATCATTGCCCATCCCCCCATTACTGCTTCGGTATGTGGCAAAATAAAAATTATTACTCTATATACCCAGTTATCATTTGGCTCTGTTCCCTAAAAGCTTCTGGATTTACTTAGTCTCTTTTGATCTGACCCCTCCAGCGAGGGTCCTATATTGTCTGACAGCTTCTTGGGATTTGGTGAAGGAGGATCTGGAGGAAAGGGGGTTGAGGAGGAAGGTGATATGAGAAGCTGGCCAGGGTGGAACTGAAGGAGTTGTTGGTGGGTTAAAGCCTGAGGAAAGAGACTTGGGAGTAGGTCCAGGTTGAGGTCAGGGGGTGGGAGGTAAATGTGCAGGGCTGGTGTTCACTCACTTTGTACCAGGAGGGCCACATGGATTGCTCACTGCCAGAGTCATGCTGAGAGATCAGTACCTGAGTTGTACCAGTTGTTAATATTTTGAACATCACATCTGGAGGCATGGGTACTTTAAGAAATCTCTGGGAGTTCTGCTGGCCCTCTTTATGGTGTTCGAGAGTAGAAATAAAAGTTTTAGAAAAAGAACATCATGGAATAACCTGTTGACATGTCTTTTGGTTGTGTTTTCTTTCCTTTGCCTTTCCTCTTTCCTCCTCCTTTTTCCTTTCTGGGTCACCACTCTGGTACTAAAGCACCACGCTGGGAAGTACAGACTAGAGGTGTTGTTACCCGTATAATCATTGTTTATGGGGAATCGTGATTGATAATACTGGACTCCAATTGTTTTTATCCAAATACAGGAAATGGAGAAAGTGTTTTTCCTTTAGGACTTATCCAAAAGTTTAGAAAACGCTGAATTTAGCTACCTAAAAATATGTTTGCTTATTTAAGAAAAGTCTTATCTCCTACCAGGAAATGTTGTGACAGTAATGGAATAGAAGTCTTCTGAGCTTCTCTTGGTGTATGTTTATCTGTGAATATATTCTTGACTCTCAGAACCACTATCTGTTAAACCAGTGGTTTATCGACAGCTATGTTGTGGAATAATTAATACTGTATCCTGTTTTGAATTTGGCTGCTAGTTGCTTTAGAGTCCAAATTCAGAAATACATTCCCTCTGGCCATGAACAGAGAAGAAAAATGATTGCAGATGAAGGTGGGACAGCCTAACTGTGTGGCAGTGTGGTAAGGGGACCTCAGGAGGAAAATGCTAAGTGAAAATCCTTTCTTTTCATACAGCTCTAGAGCCGTGCTCTCCAATAGAAATTTAACATGAGCCATAAACATGCTCCATGTATGTAATTTTAAATGTTCTAGTACTCACATTAAAAATGTAAAAAGAAATAGGTGAAATTAATTTTAAAATCTGTTTATCTCGTATGTCCAAGATAGTGCTGTTCGAATATATAATCAATATCAAAATTATTGAGATACTATAGTTCTCTTTTTTCTTTGCACTCAGTATTTGAAATCCAGTGTTTCTTTTACTTACGGCATGTCTCAATTCGGGCTAGCCATGTTTCAAGTGCTCAATAGCCACAAGGTGGCTAGCGGCTCCTGTACTGACCAGCATAGCTCTCAACTATTTCCGAGGATAATTATTATAATCTTCACTCAGTACTCACAATAAATCAAGATGGTGTCTGGTCATAAAGGCAGAGATGATCACTTTTTCTTCAGTCATATAAGGACTTCTTTGTTAATGCATTTGGGACCAACTTTTGAAATGTTTACCATGGAGCAAGAGGAGGGATTGGCTTCAACATGTGAAGGGGGACTCTGAGAGGAGACTCAGAGCTTTGTGGGCTGGCCGCAGCACAGTGCTTGATGCGGATTTGTGGTTGGCATTTATGATCCAAATTGTCGAGGTGGGGTCATTGATGAAAATAGATATGGGAAATATAGTTAATTATTAGGAACAGTATGGTGTAACAGAATGAGTCCTAGATCATGGGTCAGGAGAACTAGGCACTAGCCCAGGCATTGATCTGGGAGGAGGGAAATAAACTAGCATTTATCAAGCCAGTTACAGCATTAGGTGCTTTATGCCCATTTTCTTGCCCAATTCTTATAATAAGCCCAGTAGTTAAATATTATAACTAACTCCCGCTTACAGAGGAAGCGGGAAGAAAGGAAGAAACTGAGCCTAGAGAGGAGGAGTCCTGGCTTACCATGGAGCAAGAATAAAATCTCAGCTCTGATTCCAAAGCTACTATGTTTTTACATTATAATCCATATGCATGCCATATAGGTTGTATCTTCTATCAATAAGGATTCAACTAAAGCCAAACCAGTCATGTATGTGTGTGTGTATCTATGTGGTAGACATTTGTTACAGGGAACTGGCTTACACAGTTGTGGAGGTTGGTTAAGCAGTCTCTATAAGGATGTTTTCTCTTCATCTGATGCAGGAACTTGAGCTCCCCAGGGCAGGTAGTCATGAAGGGAGGATCACAAGCATGCTTGAAACCACAAGCACAAGATGAAACCCCACAAGGTCCACCTGAGCTCCATTTCTGTTCTTGTTGCCTCTGACCTTGGTTATGAAAGTGTTCTGAAGACTCTGAGCTTCTTCATCAAGGACCTAAACACACAAAACTGGCTCAGGAGGTAGAGAACCTGAAGAAGGATCCAGGGGACTGTGGAGCAATCGTGGGCCCAGCTGCTGCTTCACAGCAGTGAGCTGAATCAGCCAATGAACAACAGGTGTGTGAGTGACAGAGTGGCTGCAGCTTCCCTTCTGCCCTCCTGTTTTCCTAAGAATCTTTCCTGGGGCCCACCCTAATGGGGAACATATAAGAAAGGGAATTCTGGGAAATGTAGTTCAGCCTACTCAAGTTGACACGTTACAAAGCCTTCACATAGGTGTTTAATAAATATTTGTTGAGTGACTGATTGACTGACTGAATGAACATTGTGCTGCATCTCTTGGAAGTTCTCTGGGAGTCAGAACACCTAATTTTGGCTCTGCCTCTTATAAATCAAGCAATTTTGAACAAGTCACTTAACCCTTTGAGTCTTGGTGTCCTCATCTGTGAAATTCCAAGAATAATCCCTGTTCTGCCTATTTAATAGGACATTTATAGGGATCAGTTGAGATGATCTGAACAAAAGGACTGTGAACATTACAAAGCAGAAAACAAATGTGATGTAGTATTACATTATTTTAATTATTAGTGTTGTTATTAATACTTCAGCTTCCTAATTTATCACACAAAGTTAATAGTTTCTGACCAGTTTACCTTATAGATGTGCCAGGAAGATTAAATTTGATGAACTATGTAGAAATACTCTTGTCAGTTATGCCATGACATATTCTTCAAAGGCAAGACGTAATTATTGTACAACACTCAGAAACATTTGCACACTGTGTTTTAGTTATGGACTAAGTGGCTTAGGGGGATAAGTGTGTAATTGGAACCATTGGTAACCCTGGGAGTTGGAGGGCAGTGGCCATTTCTTAGATGAAACTTGTGGGCATTGGATGAGGTTTCTGTCCTATAAGTCTGGGCTTGGATTTCATAGCAGCCAAACTTGCTCAGCAGAATGAAGAAATCCCTGCGGAAATTCTTGGTGAAGATGGCATAGAGGAAGGGGTTGGCACAGGAGTTGATGGGGTAGAACAGGACCAGGAGGATCTTTGACTTGGACACAGTGATGAGAGGCACCTTGAGGGAGGCAGAGATAGCAAAGAAGGAGATGGGTGCCATGCAGAGGAAGTCCGTGAAGATGAGCATGGCCATGCGCTTGGCAATCTTGGTGTCACTAGAGGAGGACATGATGTTGGGGTTCCTCACTGTGAGGTAGATGTGAGTGTAGCAGCCACAGATGACCATAAAGGCCAGGACATTGAGCACAAGGAGGGACATCACATAAAGCTGTGACAAGGGGCTGTCAATATCCATGGGCAAGCAGATGCTCACCTTCATGTAGCTGCTGATGCCAAAGAGGGGAAAGAGGGCAACTGCAAAAGCAAAGACCCAGCCTACCAGCATGACACTGGCAGCATGGCGGAGCTGCACTTTGCATTCTAGCTGCATGGCGTGGGTGATGGTATGCCATCTTTCCAGCGTGATGGCTGTCAGAGTGTAGACTGAGAGCTCACTGGCAAAGACAGTGAAAAAGCCAGCAGCATGACAGCCTGCTCCAGTTTGCCAGTCAATGGCATAGTTGTGGTACTGGCTTTTGGTGTGGATATCAACGGACGCTATGAGCAGCAGGTAGATTCCAATGCAGAGATCGGCAAAGGCCAGATTGCACATAAGGAACCGGGGGACTGTGAGTTTGTATTGGCTGGTGACCAGGATCAGCAGCACGATGATGTTCCCAGTGATGGCCAGGATGCTAATAAACCATATCAAGACTCTGAGGATATCATACCCCATAATATCTTCACACGGATTGAATGCATCTGGCTCGGGGGAGCAAGTCACATCAACCACTTCATTGCATAAGTCATAGTCAAAGTCACTGTACATCATGTCAAATACTTTGGCATAACTGGACTCATCTTCTTCTGCTACAGAGACTCTCTGACCCCTCGCCTGAGTCACATCATCAACATCTTGCCTTAAAATAGATTTGTTGCAAATTGGATGAAGGTTGGAGCTAGAAAAATACAAAAAGGAATTGAATCAACATGTTAGATCCAGAATGGCAAATATATCACTGTCTTGACACAGAATAGAGAATGGGGTTTCTTCCTGAGGTTTTTTTTTTTTTTAATAACAGTTTGTCTACCCTTGAGGCTAAGCTCAAGGGTTAATGCTGCTTACTGGAAATGAACAGAATAACTCGTGTGTATATTCCTAGAGTTGGACAACCCACTGGGGAAACCATCTGGCCACAACCTGAATGTGGGGAGGAAGGCGCCTGGGACTAGCTAAACCTTGCTGTTAAGTGCAGATAATTTACTGACCTGATATCCACTCCACCCTCTCCCTTCCCCATCTCCATTCAGCTCTCTTTTACTATGCCTGAGTAGTAGATATAGCCCCCTTCCTCTACTCTGAACTCCAGTCCTGGACGATCTGGATTGTCTTCTGACTCAAATAAAAATTGCCTATCTACGTAAATCAGAAGATCAGAGGCTGTAGTTAGTTCCCAGTCAGCCCTGTCCCTGATTCTTTGATACTCAGGCTACCAGGAGGTCTGCTAATTTGCCTGAAATGTTACTGAGAGCCCTGTTCTTTATTACTTCATTCCCCTGGGGGCCACAACCAGCCTCAGGCATGTATTTGTCTGCAAGGTAAGCCTGGCACTCTCATATTGAATAGTTCACTAGTGACTGCCCCAGAGAACAAACGCAGGTTGCATGGGGCCTGATATATTCTGAGATTGTAACTCATCCCTGGAGAGATGGCTCTTCTTGGGCTCACTTCTCTGTCTTAGTTTTTCTTTTAAACCTGAGTGTACAAGAGGCCTTGTCAACAGAATAGAGGCACTTCCAGAAGGGATTGAATGAAAGCCAGACAATAAATATTCTATCCAGACAAGTGGATAATGCACATAGAGATAAAGGGTGATAGTTCTGTTTTGAAGCAAAGGCTTAAGAAATGGGGCTATTTCACACTGGATCTTTTTGGGGATGGAAACACACACACACACACACACACACACTCACACTCACACTCACACTCCCTCCCTCCCTTAAGGACAAGCTCATGGCAATGTTAAGTGACTGAATTTCTCTCAAGCCTTAACATAATCTAAAAAGTGAGTGGGAAAGTGAGTGTTAAAACTCATCAAAGACCTCCCCTCTCCTTCATAAGGAGGGTGGCTGGTGAGTGGAGGAGGCAAAGATTCCATTGGTTACAAAAGGATGATGGCTGGCCACATGTGCTAATGGACATGGACTGAACTCTTCCGCATCAACTTCTGAGAAGGGGCTGTTAGTGAGAACCCTCTCCCCCATTTTCTCCCCTCCAAGGAAGTGAGCAGACTTTCCCAGAAGTCATTTTCCCTTGGCCCAAGGGACTCTGTTTTTCCTGGAGAAGGTGTCATTTTTTTGTTTGTTTTTTGAAGACTGATAGGGCTTCTCACCTCAGTCACAGTTTGCATTAAGGAGGTTAAACAATTAGTATAAACATAATTGAAGATGCACAGGAAATCTTTTGGTTTAGTTGGAGATCTTACAAGAAAGGTGAGGCAAGTTCAGAGACAGGCAAAGAGAGGACCAGAGAATCACTCTGTTTCTCATTCTAACTCCCAGCTCCTAAACCCTGTCATTGGATTAGCGGCAGCCCAGTTCTAGGAATAGAAAGTAAGTAACCTTGCTGTTAAGTGCAGACTGTGATTTGTTTTCATTGCAACAGGTCTGACTAACCATCTAGACATAGCCTTCACTTCCTGGGGCCTCTGTTGGCTTCTGTGAAGATGCTTATTGTTGATGCTGTTACCAACATATTCTAAATATATTGCTTCCCTTTCCTGAAACAGAAGTGACCCAGTGACATGACCCAGTGGGGGAAATGTAAACAATGCATATCTTTAAGGGAAGGATAGAAACAAAAATGTTAGCGAGGGAAATAAAGTCTTGCATCTGCAGTAACTTGGCCAACCCTAAGTATCATTAAGAATTGGGAATTCAGTTTCAGGTGAGTTTAGAAAGGTGGTACTCCTGGGCCCCTAGAAATCAGTGAACAGACACTTCGGAAGTGCATGGCATCGTGGCCCAGAGTCTGAGCTTTGGAGGCAGACAGACCAGAGAGTTTGGATCTGAGTTCAGTTGGTGTTGGTTAAGTTTCTTATTGTCTCTGAGCCTCAGTGTCTGCTTTTGTGAGAAGGGAATAAAAATAGCATTGTTACCTTCGTGAGAATTAAATGAGATAAAGGTTCAAAGTATCACAGTGCCTGGCAGTGAGACAGTTGAAAGACAGGTGATGGCGGCTACTGACTAAGTTCATGTTGGGGTGTAGACCCTATGTGGGTACTTAATCATGTGCCACAGTGCATCAGTTTAAAATCTAGCTGTGAAGAAAAGGTCTAAATACAAGAAAAAATTAAAGAATAAAACAAGGGCAAAATAGCACTGCAAGATGAGTAGAGAACTATGACAGGGAAATAACAGAGGGACACATGAGAGGTGTGGTTGACAAGGTCTTTTGGTGAGTCCAGGAGGGCCGTTGGCCATCTCACAATCCCAAGGGCCTAATATTTACGCTTGGAGGCATTGTTTCCAAGTGCGGATTGGGTGAACAATTTCATCATACAACTTTAAACTCAAATTTCATTACCAAACTGCACCTACTGTAGTATACCATGGAATGACAACATTTAAAAAATAAATCCTGCGATTTTCTCCTAAATAGCCCAAGCATATAGATTTGTTTGTGAATTTGTTAAATACAAAGACTAAACACCGCACAATTTTTGTTACTACACCGTGGCATGTCTTCCTAGAAGAGGCTTGGGCCTCTCCTTGGCTGCACTCGACCTGCCCTGATGGTGAGTTAGAATAGGGACCTAGAGAAGGTAAGAGCCAGGTGGTCTGGTGGGATCAGGGAATGCTTCAGGTCATGGTACAATGTAAGGCAGACCTGGGGATTTCTAGCTGGGAGAGCCCCGAGGCTACATATGTACTTCCAAGTGGTGGCAAGACCAGAGAAGTCTGAGCAACAGAGTAAGAGAATGGTGAATTGGTACTGGGCCAGACAGCACACCATGTGCAGCTCTTACAGTGGCCTGATCATCCTCTGAGATTTCTCCTGAGAGATATTTAGTGGAACTAAATTGGCAGTGATATTGGTATCTTTCTTGCCCTGGCTGGAATAACTTCCCAGAATATCAAAGAGGCAAGCCTTTTGCCTCAGCCCAAGCTCTTAAATTCTAGTCATTAGGAAGAAATTCTCTGGCCCTTGAGCTCATCTGTGAGGAGAGTCTATTCTGGATGGTTTCCCAATGATGAGTGCTTATTCTGAAAATTAGCCCCTTCCTTGCAGATCCTTCCAGGGGGTCTAAATGTGGACTCCTCCCTACTTTGAGAACATTTTAGGGTGTGTGCTGTTGGGTTGTTTTGTTTTATTTTGCTTTAGTACAGAGGACATGTCACATATTCAGGCTGAGTAACAGAAGAGACTGCATGAACTGGTGAAATAATGCCACAGAAGCCGTGTTAGTGCTGGGCTACTGTACAGCAGTGGTGACAAGGTACCATGTGACTGCATGCAGCTGCGTGGGATGGTTGTATCCGTGAGTTCAGGAGAGGGAGAAAGCTGTAAGAATTCCTGATATTTAGTGGATTATACCTCCAGTGGATCCTTTAAATATCTGGTATAATCTCCAACATACTCATTCTCCATTGTCTCCAGAACCTGTCTACAATAACTTCAACTTTTTAACCAGTTAACCACTGGGATTCGGCTTTATTTGTATTACCCTCTTACATAGGGGCTTCCTCGAACCTGACCAGCCTAGAAAGCCAAAGTGAAGAGATGTTACAATCTTTGTCCTCCCTGTGAGGTGCTAATCTCCAAAGATGGATTAGAGAGGTTTAGAGTGGTTGGACTGTGTTGTGGGTGTCTCTGATATGGGATTTATGCCTCTCCCCTTCAAAGTTGACTTTGATGGGCCCTGGCACATTGATGGGGTATAGAGCTTGAGACTTGAAGATAAATCCATGTTGGTACAAAGGAAAAAGGGAACAGATATTTACTAAGTATTAATTATGAGCCAGGCACCATGCTTGGAGTTTTTCATGTTCTCTCATTCAGTATTTGATAGGAGGTCTACCCTGGAGGTAGCCTTCTCCTGTGAGCCCATTTTTTCAAAGAAAATGCTAAAGCTTTTATCTAAAGTATGCCTGAGGCCTTTCAACAGGGAGATCTCTGAAAGTAGATTCTCTTCATTCCACAAAGGTGTAGAAGCTGTGGACCAAGTACTGCACTGGAGAAATGCCCAAGTGGGACTCAAGGGATGGACACCAGAAGACTCACATTTGCCGCCTCCAGTTTGCAAAGGCACAGCAGTGGCTGGGGTAGGTGAGGCTGGCCTCCATGAGTGTGACAAACTTTTCCAGACTGGGAAGCTTTTTTAAGTTGTAGGTCGACCGGGCCCGCAGCTTCTTAAGATTTTCTAAGCCATAGCTAGGCAGGGAGTGGATTCTGGTTCTTGAAATATCTCTATAAGGAGAAAAGGTAAACATAACCTGATTACTATGGGCCTATATTTTCTGCTGTGTTAGAAAAATGGCAGGCACAGTCGTGATGTTCTTACATGGGTACATCCAGCACACCTCGGTCAGATCAGTATTTGGCTAACAGGATATTTGGTTTGGTAGAAGCCCTGGCCCTCGTGTTTGTGGTAGGAGGATTTAGATAACAGGCCATTCAGTATCCTGGATATACTCACATCTTGGCTGATCTGGGGCTTAATTGCAGCCCTTTCTCCTTCCACAGTCTATTTATAGAATAGATACCCACTAATTTACACAGGACAGAGGGTTTAAGACCATTTCGTCCCTATCATCAAGCCAGACGTAAAAATAGATCTGATGAGCTGGGGTGGAATCTGTAGCCAGATTTCAGCAAAGGATGAGAAGAGAGCACATCATAAGGGAAGAGGGGTCTGGTGGGCATCGGAGGCATCAAGTCAAAGTGGCGATGGAGAGTGGTGGTCATGAGCTTGGTGTCCATGGCTAGACTTGACTGTATGCATGTGTACCCTGCCCCTCGATCTTTTAGATTCATGACCTTGGTCAAGTTATCTCACTTTCCCGTGTCTCAGTTTCCTCAGCTATAAAATAGTAATGGTCATAATCATACCTGCCTCAGAGGGTTGTTGTGAGAATTACATGAGTTAAAGTACATAGAGAATGTCCCAGCCAACACTTAATGGCTGGAAGCTATTATCAGTAAACATTGCACACACACACAGTTGTTCTTGCTTTGTAGGAGTCTCTGCCTGGGTAAATGGGTCTCTATGGAAGCCAGCAATGAACAATTTAACCAGGTGCCTGTTGGGCTCCAGACTCCCACCCTTTCTGGCAGCAGAACCAGTGACATGAGTGATTCTCTGGCAGTGCTGTTGGCAGCTGCAACCTTCAAAACAACCATGACCAGCTGGTAGGAGCAAGGAGATTGAAATGGTACCAGCTGAGACTTGTTGGGATTAGCAGGCTGGCTGTGAACGAGGGCTTCTGATAGGGATGATGGCACGTGATGACCAGGATGGATTCATTTCAGGCACCCTTGGGGATCCCTGGATACACTTGGGGAAGGAGAATCTTATAATGTCTGCATTTCCTATTAGTCAAAGCAGTGGGCACTCAGAGCAATGAGACTTGGGGGTGTGAATATGTATCGGCTACCCCATATGTTCGCGGAGTCTGGTGAAAATTACTTTCTCAAAGCCTTGTTTTCCTGGTGTCATTCCTTCTCTTGCTCAAAAATTTATAATGCTTCCTGGTGTCATTCCTTCTCTTGCCCCCAAATTTATAATGCTTCCTGGTGTTCAATGAAACCCACTCATAATTGCTGCCCTATTTGTCACTTCCCTTTTCCAATCAAACTTCTTATCCTGGTTGTCCATACTTGATGTCATTGTTTCCTCATCTCATAATCCAGCTCAGTTTCTTCCCAATCTCTGGAGAAACAGTACTCACTTAAGTCACATCTTAGTTCTAACCTTCTTGACTTCTCAATTGCACTTCACCTGTAAAACACTCTAATGCACACTCTTTCTTGGCATCACATTCTTTTTAATTTCTTTTGACTTCTACTTACTTTGACTCATTTCCAATTTTGTTTTCTTTCTCCTCTATCTGTTCTCTAATGTTGGTGTTTCTTGAAACTTAGGCCCCTTTCTGATTGTACCTAAGCTTCCCAAGTGATCTTACCCACTTCCTTGGTTTCAGATACCAGGTATATGCTGATGGATTCCAAATGTAATTCCAAGTTCAGATCCTACTTCCGAACCCCAACCCCAGATAATCCGTTGACCATCAGATCCCACCATTTTGATGACTTGCAACTATCAAAACTAAATTTACCATTTTCCTTATAAATATGTTCCTCCCCATTTGTTTTTCTTATCTCAGCAACTGACTCCTCCATTTTCCCCTGCTGTTCAGGAGAGAAACCTGGGAGTCATCCTTGACCCTCTCTCCTCATTTGGACATCAGTTTCTTGTTCTCCCGAGCCTAACTTTCACATCTGTTTCAAATCAGTCCACTCCTTTGCTGCAACTTAAGTCTAAATCACCATAATCTATGCCTAGAGAGAGACACAACAGCCTCATAAAGGCAGTTCTCCTGGCCATCATATCAGGGTTCTCCAGAGACACAGAACTAATAGGATATATGGAGATGTATAATAGGAGATTTATTATGGAAATTGGCTCACACAATAATGGAGGCTGAGAAGTCCCAGGATATGCCATCTTCAAGCCAGAGAACCAGGAAAGTTGGTGTTAAAATTCACTCTGAGACCAGAGGCCTGAGAACCATGGAGGCCACTGGTCTAAGTCCCAGAGTCTGAAGGCCAGAGAATCAGGATCTCTGATGTCCAAGGCCAGGAGGAGATGAAGCTCAAGAAGAAAGGAAGCATGTTTGCCTTTCCTCTGCCTTTTTGTTCCAGTAGGGCCCTTAACTCATGAGACAATGCCTACCCACACTGGGGAGGGTGAAGTTTCTTTACTCAGTCTGTTGATTCCAATGCAAACCTCTTCTGAAAACACTCTCACAGACACATGAGAAATAATGTTTTACCAACTCTCTGGCATGCCATGGCCCAGTCAGCTTCACAAATAAAATTAACTATTGTGTCCATCTCTCTTTAATACAACCTACACTGCATATAATACTTTAAAATGCCAATTAGATTGTAACTTCCTGCGTGTAGCTAGTCAGTGATTCCCCATTACCGTTCCTATGAAGTACCCAGCAACGGACGTGATGTGCTGGTCATTTGCCTGGTTTCTCTCATATTCATTCTGTGCCCTTTTCTGTGTTCTATTCTGTATTGCAGGAGAGGTGGCTTCTGCAGGTTCCATTTTTCAGGTACCACCTTGACAATCAACCTTCAGTTGGGTTCAGCAAATGGCACTGGTAGGAGATTGGAGGGTGGGAGGAAGGGTGAAGTTAGGGCATTGCTTGTTCCTCCTCTACCTCAGGCAACATCTACTCTGTGACTCCAGATGTCATCAGGCAGGTCCACTGAATGTCTAGCAGCTACCAGACATCCCAGTTCTTGTGCTTGAGGAAGACCACATCCTCACTTGCCTTCAAGTCCTAGAATGAGTCTTGGTGACCTACCACTGCTAATCCTCTGCTTAATATTAATGATTACTTTTATGTAACACCTGTATATATTTCAGTTAGTTCCCCTCCTTATTGGATGCCAGGTAAATCAAATTCATCGGTGCTATTGTTCAAATACTTCAGTATGCTTGCTGATTTTTTGCTTGCTTGTTCTATCACCTCTGAGAAAGCCACATTAAAATATCCAACTATGATTTTGGATTTGTATACTGCTACTTTAAGTTTTGTCAATTTTTGCATTATGTATTTTTGATGACAATTTTTAGGTACATAAAATTATCGAAATTTTTAGTTGAATTATATTTGATTCACAATATTGTGTTAGTTTCAGGTATATAGCAAAGTGATTCAACTATACATATATGTGTATATAGCTATACTCTTTTAAAAAATTATTTTCCATTATAGTTTATTACAGACAAATACAGAATTTCTACGTCTTCCTGGTGACTTTCTTTATATCTAGTACTGTTTGTCTCCTAACTTTTTGGACAGTACTTCTTTGCTGGTTACTTCCTGACCTCTAGTTGGTGGAGTACCCATGGGCTCAGAACATAGCCTTCTTTTCCCCATTTGCACTTACATGTAGGTGAACTCATCTTGCTTTATGACTTAAACACCAACTATATGCTGATGGATGGCTCTAATTTTTATCTCTAGGCTGCTCTTCTCCCTTAAACTCCAGACTCTTATGTTCAACTACCTCCTTGTAATCTCTTCTTTGTTGTTTAATAGGCAGGTGGAGGTATTAAAAATTGAGCTCTTGATCTTTCCCTAAACCTGCTCTCCTTACAGACTTTCCAGTTGTTCATGCAAAAATTTAGAAGTCATCCTTGTCTTCTCTTTCTCTCACACCTCATATGCAAACCCTTAGCACAAGAACTTGGCCCTACCTTTCACACACATCTGGACTTTAACTACCTTTCACAACATTCATTGCTATCACCATGGGGTAAAATTTTATAGTGTTCCAAAGTCTCTTTTCTCGTTCTTCCCTATGTATTACAATTCCTCAGAGATAGGGTCCTTGCAGGTAAGAGTCTGATCCATGAGCCTTTGCCCTGTGATGAGTCTTTGCTCTCTGCTGTTGAAAGATCTAGCTGTCCTGGCCTACTCTGTACATCCCATTGTTCCAGAGCTTTTCAACTGTCTTCTCTGCCCTAAGAAGTCCTTCTAGTTTCTCTTTTCCAGCAGTTGCTCCTCTGACCACTTCCTCTAATGACATTCGCTCTGGTCCCTGTCACCACGTTTTTGTTTCACCTGGTGTATGGGCTCTCTATTTCCCCTCAAATGTGGAAGGGAGCAAAGATTGCCTGTTCTGTTTAAGACAGTTCAAGATTCCCTCCAAAGAATGAGATGAAAGTGTACCAGAAAGTTCTTCAGGAACAATTTAAACCAGAGCAATTATTTATTACCTGCCAGGGACATCTTTCATATTTCTGAAAGCAAGCATACAAAGCAGAAGATGATTTTTTTTCTTAGCTATGCCTCTTCCCACTTGAGTTTAGAATATGCAAAAATCACATTAATTGAAGATTCCCCAAAATAGAAAAAATTTATATTCCATGCAATGCCATCATATTCTCTCATTTACTCTGTGTTCAATTAAAGATGACTACAGATTCTTTATACTCTTCCACAGAGGGTCCGTTTGCCCTTCCCTTGAATCTAGGCTGGACTGTGATGTCTTTGGACTACAACAGAGTATGATGAGAGTGTTGCTATACCAATTCTGGACTTTGCCTTTAAGAGCACTGACAGCTTCTATTTGGGCCTTATAGAACCCTAAGCTGCTGTGAATGGACTCTGAATGCCCTGATCCTGCCATGCTGCAAAAAGTCTAGGCCATGTGCAGAGGATCCT